TGGCCGACAATCCCTCAGATAAAATTGGTCATTCATATTATGGCTGTTTGTAGGACAACAACAATAACAACTTGTATTTACATAATGTTTTTCAGGAACGTAGAGTGTCAGAGCACTTAACAGTGGTGTGGTTTGACGCTGAGTCGGAAAGGGAGGGGAGGTTGACCAAAGTCACAATGAAAGAGGAAGGTCTTTGAGTGTGATTCAAAGATGGGCAAAGAGAGGACAAAGATTGAGGAGTTACAGAAATTTGGGACATAGTGGCAAATACTCAGCCATTGTACTTTAAATTGATTGAAATACTGTACTTAAATTGGTATCGCATCCAAGTATTTTAGCCAGAAATCTCATGATTTTAGTCACATCTCTCTCATGTTGGCAATACTTGGGAATCCTGTAGTGTGGCGCTTTGAAATGTCTCAAAGCTGTGATAAAATGTCAAATGCAAAGGATTATTATTTATTCGCTATAGAAGTTTAATTTTACAGCAAATATCAGTGCCAATCTCTAATGACAATGTACGCAATGATTTTAATTGTTAATGAGATCCATCAAGCACTGGCTGCCAGCGCGAGGGATCTTTGGTAAGTCCTTAAAATTGGAAATCTAAACAGATCACTTATGTCACTGAATCAGATCAATTAGGTTCAAAGGTGCTAACCTTATCCCCAGTTCCTCAACATGAATATTGGTTATGTTAAAAAGTAACTTAAATAACAAATATTCAGCTGTAAACTCAAAATGGAAACTAAGTTGCAGACTGGTTTTGGTAATGTCACTGTTCAAGTTAGTGAAATGCAAGAATCACAGTTGTGACCGGCAAGAGTGAACCAGTTGTGAACCACTTCTCTGAGTCTCTGATGGTTCAGCAAATTTATCCAGTGAGCCGCTGAGTCACACAGACAGAGAAAGTCCATAGTTCAGTAGTCAGCCCTGTGCTGAGCTAACAGATTTCATCTGGCTGCACTGAGGAGTGTTACAATCAACCAAAGTTTGCACTCAGCATACATGTGTGTACACATCAAATGAGGCTGGCTTTCGCTGCAATGTGCCCACAGTTCAATCGTCTGCCAAGGCACATCTGAACTAGAGTAAATAGCCACTTGGTCAAGTTTGTGAAGAGCGTTCGGCACCACTATGATGTGCAGAATCACACCCTAGTAGAAGGAACAATTAGTCAAATTACTTTATTAATACAGTCAAGTTTGCACAGTGTTAAGTCGCCGATTGTTATAATCAGCATAATGTTATACTGGAGACCAAACCCGGCTGTGCTTATGTGTTTCGTACACGTATGAGTTTGCATATTGTTAAAGCAGAATAATGTTATAATTCGTCCCAATGTTATGCAGATTTGCAAACCCAATTAATCTTATACCCCTCAGAGTGTAGTCCTGCTGGAGTAAATGTAATTTGCACAACATTTAGACAATTATAACATTATACTTTAACAACATGCAAACTCAACTGTGTATAAAACATACTAAGCACAGCCAGGCCCGGCCTCCGGTATAACATTATGCGCATTATAACAATTCGTGACTTTACACTATCATTCTAGCACAGTGATGGCCAACCTTTTGCTAAGGTGAGCCACAGTGTCAGCAAAAGACATATCGCCGTGCGATAGAAAAAACATAATGAAATCGAAAAGAAAATATTACTGGAAAAGAAAGATGCATTTATTGATAAATTCACAATAAATTATCAAACAAGTTACTTAATGAGGCTTCTGAATTTGTTTTTTGTTTATGATATCTTCACTATTTGGATTCAGTTTTGAGCAGGGCACTAAAAGATTATTAAAGTGATCATCTGTTAGTTTGGAACGGTATTTACTTTTTATGAAGTTTATGGTGGAAAAGGATTTCTCACAGGTGTAGGGTAATCCGAATCTGCAAACAAATCACTCTTAGGGACTAATTTCCAAAACGACTTCAAGTCCTGGCTTATTGGAGAAGCACTGATATTCTGATATTTTTCGTAATTGATGGTGATGTTACTGTCAATTTTTAACTGTTGCAAGTGAACAAAGTGATCCATTTTTTTTCGAGACAAAACATTCAAAAAAGGTTTACATTTGGCCTTGAAAGCTGAAATTAAATTAAACAGAGTTGGAAAAAGGCAATCGTTTCCTTGCAATCATGCATTATGGTTGTCAAGATGACCGGTATTGTCCATAAGGAAAGCAAGGTCACTGAGCTAGTCTTTGTCTTCTCCTCCAAAGCACACACACACACAGTCACACACACTCACACAGTCCTTCTCTCAGAGAAGGGGGAGAGGGAAGGGCGCGGGGGGGTGGGGAGCAACAACCTCCAAACAGTGGCCTCCAGTCATAAAATGTGTTGAGGCCACTATCAAGGGCCTGGCTGCCACCTTGTGGCACAGGTGGTAAGGGTGGGTTGGCCACCACTGCTCTAACATCTGAAATCCAGAATGAAGAGACAGGTGGCTCGTCCATTGAGAGCATGGCCTAGGTTGATGGACAGGCAGAGAGATTCATATAATCCTTATATAATCCTTGCCATTTAATATAGCGCCTTATCATGTCATCGAGACATCTCAAAACGTTTCACAGAATTTTACTGTGAAATGAAATGATTTGTAGGTGGTCACAGCAGCAAGATTGCCCACAGCAATGTTCCACAAACAGTCATGAAGTGAGTGACCAATTTTATTTGGGGGAATATTGGCCAGGACTCCTTTCTTTTACAAATAGTGCCAATGGTATCTTCAATGCCCACCTGAACAGGCAGATGGGACCTCAGTTTTATGTCTTATCCAAAAGACAGCACCACCAACAAAATAGCACTGCACTGATGTATCAGTCTAGACAGTGAATTCAAAGTCCTGGCATGGGGCTTCACCCAGAACCTTCTAATTTCAAGAATGTTGCCAACTGAGCCAACTTTAGGAGAGAAAGGGGAGACTACTGGGTTTGGGGAAAGACACTTTTTTTTACAATTTTAAATTAAACAAGTGGAAATGTTCTACATGAGAGAAACATGGCAGACCTGCCTGTGCATCATTTTTTGTCCCTCTTCCCCACCCACCAAACAGTTCTGCAGCTTCCAACACCAGGGAAACATTAGATGTAAAAACTTCTACCAGCAAAGAGTAACACCGAGTGCAAAGTGTTGTCATCTAAACAGAGGTCATTTTGTCCCCCTCAGCGACACACACCAACATTGCACCACTAACACTGGGAACCTGCTGAAGATGGCCCAGGGATTTGACTGGGAAAATAGGGAGAAGCTATTTCCACTGGTAGAGATGTCAGTGAGGAGGGGACATCAGTATAAGATAGTCACAAGAAGAGCAAAAGGGGAACTTAGATTTTTTTCACTCAGCTAGTTGTTGGGCTATGGGAGGCCCTACCAACATTTGTTTGGCGCTTTTCATGTCGGGAGGACATCCCAAGGCACTGGACAGTCAAGGATTTGGACCCTGGAAAAATTCAAGGAGATATTCCACTCAAACAAGGTTCACCAGAAATGACAGATCTGACAGATTTGTCTTTGCCCAATGCCATTGAAGGAGCTGTCAACATCAGATCACTCAACTAGTTTCTGGCAATCACGTGATCAGTACAGACAGAGATCGAGTGTAGCAGATACATGCCCCGAAGAGACGAGAAAACCAGGGATACCAACTGGAGTGCAAAATATTTGTTTTTTAGATTAATATTATGCAGATCACAATGGCATTACCACACTTGTCAGGAGAAATACAGAAGACAGCATTTATAACAGTGTATACCGTAGCCAAGTAAGGTGGCAGAGGCAGGGTCCATTGTGAGTTTAAGAGATTAGTGGAGAGGTTATATAATCCTTGCATTTTTTGATATAAAGCCTTATCTCATCACCAAGACATCTCAAAGCGCTTCACAAAATATACTGCAGCTTTTTTTTACTGTTTTTTGTGGGCGAAACCGATCGGCCAATTTTGCGCACAGCAATTTCCCACAAGCAGTCATGGAGTGAGTGACCAATTTTCTTTGATGGCCAGGACACCAGGAGCAACTTCCTTTTCTTATCTTTAACGTCCACCTGAACAGACAGACTGGGCCTCGGTTTAATGTCTCATCCAAAGGACGGAAACTCCCGACAATGCAGCACACGCCCAGCGGTTGCATTGGAGTGTCAGCTTAGACTGTATAATTCCAAGTCCTGACATGGGGTGGAACTCACAACCTTCTGACCCAGACGTGAGAATGCTACCTCTGAGCCATTTAAAACATTTCGACACCAGTGAAAACATAAGAATGCAATTCAAATAAATAAATATATTTACATGCACGCTAATACATTCAAAAAATAATTTGGTCCCTCAATCCACGACTGTTTGTGGGACACCGCTGTGCGCAATTGGCTGCCGCGTTTCGCCCACAAAATATACAGTCAATTCACTTTACGGTACATTCTGCGGAGCGCTTTGGGACGTCTCGAAGACACGATACCTCTAATAATCCTTATGGACAACAACAACACTGTATAATAATCCTTGCATTTGATAAAGAGCGTACGTTTTTATATCACAATACATAAAATATAATAGTAATCCTTGCATTCGACGGAGAGCGTAACATTTTTAAATTACAGTAATATACAATAATAACAATACAAAGCAGTAATCCTTGGATTTGACACAGGGTCATTTTGTATTTTTATAACATAGATAATAATAATAATTATTATTATTAACATAGATATTTTTTCACACACATATAACTTGCTTTTCCTGCCCCCCCCCACCCCAACCAATTAAAAAAAATAGCCCCCACCCCACCCTCCGAGAAAAAAAAACACCCCACCACTGGCGTGTGTTTTAATGGGGACCACGTTTGTCGATGGCCCTGAATGTGTGTGTGTTGTGTGTGTATGTGTGTGTGTGTGGGGGGGGCAAAGGAGGGGGAGGGGAGGGGTCCTTAGTTACGCCGTCGCGCTGACGTATGAAGCGGGCGGCCGGGCAGGAGAGAGGCCTGGCGGGCGGGCGGGCAGGCGGGCGGGCGCCGGCTCTCCCTGTGTGTGAGGGAGAGCTGCTCGGCGGCCGCAGCTGAGAAGCCATCAGTAAGTGAGTGAGTGAGAGAGAGAGAGAGGGCGCGGCCGCGGCGCCTGTCCCCCTGTGCGGCGGTTTGTGTGGGGGGAGAGGTTGGAACGCGGTTGCCATGGTTTTCCCGACACGGGATTCCCCTTTAGAACGGTGGGACAGCCGCCGCCGCCGCTCATCCGCACAGAGCACCGGCCACCCCTGCCCTGCCCTCACACCGGCACCGGCCTGACACCGGCACCGGCCTACCCTGCCCTCACACCGACACCGGCACCGGCCTGCCCTGCACTGCCCTCACACCGGCACCGGCCTGCCCTGCAGCCCTCACACCGGCACCGGCCACCCCTGCCCTGCCCTCACACCGGCACCGGCCTGACACCGGCACCGGCCTGCCCTGACCTGCCCTCACACCGGCACCGGCACCGGCCTACCCTGCAGCCCTCACACCGGCACCGGCCCCGGCCTACCCTGACCTGCACTGCCCTCACACCGGCACCGGCACCGGCCTGCCCTGCTTCTTTTGAGTATCATTTTCTTCACATGTTTACACTGCCCTCCCTCTCTCTCTCCCTCTCCCTCTCCCTCCCCTCTCCCCCCCTCTCCCTCTCCCTCCCCTCTCTCCCCCCACCGCCGCCGCCGCCTCGGGCCATCCTCCATCTCAATCCGCTTCCAACTTTTGAAAGTCCAGTGCAGTAAATTTGCTGTGAGTGTCTGTGTATCTGCTGTGTCCTCTGTGTGTTTGTACCTAATATTTCTTGATTTCCTGTCTTTCTATCAATCTGTGTCTGTCTGTGCGTCTGTGTGTCCTCTGTGTGTGTGTGTGTGTGTGTAGTATTATTCAGTGAGTGGGGAAAATTGCCCCGTCATGGTGTCATGTGAGGCATAGAGGGGTTGGTGGTGAGGAGAGAGGGAGAAAGGGACTGACAGAGCGAGAGAGAGAGAGAGGATTTGTTTTGTGTGTATTCGGTGCTGCGCCTGTCGGATTTAAAGTTTAAAGGCTCTGCGGGTAGAATGTTTTTTTTAAACTGATCTTTAATTTAAGAGCACATTGGTTAGCGCACACGCCTCGCAAGCGAGAGACCTGGGTTTGATTCCCGGGCAGAGCAAAACGTTGGGCAAGTTTTCTCGCTCCACACACCTCTGTTTACCCAAAGAACCCGGTTGTTAGTCGATTGGCAGATTGCTTTTCCGGTGGTAATAATCCCTTAAAAGAATAATTATGATTTGGTCGGTCAATCCACAACTGTTTGTGGGACACTGCAGTGCGCAATTGGCTGCCGCGTTTTGCCCACAAAATGTACACTCAATTCAGTTTACAGCATATTCTGTGAAGCACTTTGATACTTCTTGAAGACCTGCTATGGTGCTATATCAAATGCAAGGATTATTATTAAAATGTGTTTTCCATTAAGATTTTAATTGCTGGAACATATTCCATTTTTTAAAAAAAAGTTTCAAAAAAGTATTGATTTCTAGGTGAATAGAGACTGGCGGTGTTGGCTTGCTCCACATAAATAGTATTAATTTTGAATCCACATTTGTCAGAATATAATCTGGATTCCTGTAGTTTGTCAACTAGATGTGTTAGTTTTCGTGCTTTGTGTGTACAGTACTTGTTCTTAGGAAATGCCATAGCACCGTGGCTGTTCCCAAAGTACAGTACTGATGTATCCAGCACAATATGAACAGACAATTCAGTACCTTACGATGTCCTTCCAATGTGAAAAGCGCTATATAAATGTAATTGCGTTGTTGTTTTTCACATGGCTTTACTCTGTTTTTACCAGCCAGGTATTTCAATTTCAACAGCAATATATTACTCGCACTAATTTCAAGGGATCTATTCTCTAGCAGAATACCTAAATATTTGTATTATAAGCAGAATGCTCCATAGGGACTAACTGGTGTTGGAATGCTTTTGTTTTTTTTAAAAAAAGTGCTTCAATTCTTCCCCCCGCCCCCCCATCTCCTCTCCGGGAACTAGTGAGCTATCTGCCATGCACTGATTATTTTAACTACTGACCCTTTTTTGTTATTTGTTTATAATAATATTCCTTGCATTTGACATAGTGCTTTATCATGTTTTGGAGACTTCTCAAAGCGCTTCACAGAAAAGTGAAAGGGCTGTATATTTTGTGGGCGAAACACAGCAGCCAGTTGTGCATAGGAGTGTCCCACACACAGTCGAGGATTGAGTGACCGATTTTCTTTTAAGGAGTTATTATCCCCGGAAAAGTGATCCACCAATCGACTAACAATCGGGTTCGTACTTAATGCAAGGTACACATAGGCATGTGGAGTAAGGAAACTTGCCCAACGTTTCGCCCTGCCAGGAATCAAACCCATGTGTTTAGTTTGCAATAACTACTGAGCTACAGGATTTCAAGTACATGTACTTTGACCAGTAGTCACTTCCTAGTAATCAGAAGAAGGAACCAATGATACGTTTGTGCATAATTTCCCTTCGTACTTAGCGAGAAGCAGGGCTTCCACCATGGGTCCATCTGAGTTTAGCTAACTCAGCAAATTCCAGGGATTGAACATGGGATCTCTCTAGCTTGTAAAATGAGTAGCACACCGTGTGTTTGGTGCATTTACACAATGAGTTGTTGAGGGAGCTGTAATTTTGTTTCTGAATTAGTTTAACTTATTTTCATTTGAAATGAGAATTTTTTCCAATCAGTATTATGCTTCTGGAGACTAAACCCTACACTGCGTATCCATCCTTTGTCTGACCCCTGCCCAGCATTTTGAAGTTTGTATGTTTTGCAGATTAAAGATTTTAGAAGTTAAATACACTTTTATATTCATGTCAATGCCTCTTAAATGTTTCTGATGTTAATTACATTCTGTTGACACAGTCAGCTGTTTACTAGTGGCTTAAGTTATTGTATCAAAGGCTAAAGGACAGATCCACTCTGCTCAATACTGATCATGATCTTTTTGGAATCTGACATGGTTTAAATTCACTGGGTGATTTAACTTGGACTATTCCTGAACTAAAGGCAGGCCACAGAATGGCTCTGTTTTTGCAGTGTTTTCAGGGGCAATGAGTAAAATGAATATACAAAACTTGGAATTTTCTAAGCTATTTTCAAAATATAATTAAGTGTTATGAATCTTAGAACATTAGTGTCAAGGCAATCCTCTGTTTAACGTAGTACATAAATTTGACACAGCGAAATTGGACTGAGGTGCTATGAGATGCTGCCCACACGAAGGGTGCTATATAAATGCAAGTTGTTGTTTGGGATAGTTGAGGTGACCTTTCCAGGGTGAATGTGTGTGTGAGCAAGCAAGCATGTGTTCACATCCTTTTCTCCCTCTATCGCTGAAGTACAATTGAGAAATTCTGTGCATGCTTGCTTTCGAAACATGTTTTAAATAAAATATCACCTCTTTTCTCAGGTGCTGGTGATCTCGGGTGTTACCCCAATCGTCCATGATGGATAAGATATTGGAAGCCCTCATCACCTCTTCTCATCCCTTGCCTGTGAAGAAAGGGATTGTGAAGAAAGTGGTGGAGGCAGCTGAGAATTCTGTTGATCGGGAGCAATGCAAGGCCATGTTCGACCTGACCACCCGCTTGATTTTGCTGGGGGAAGACGGATTCCAAAAACAAGTGGGTCACCAAGTGCTCGAAGCCTACGCCAGATACCACCGTTCAGAATTTGAAGAGTTCTTCAACAAAGGATTTGTCCTGACCCTCCTTCAGCAAGGATACAAATCTTTAGATAAGAAGGATATTGTCATCATTGATTATATTCACATGGGATTGAAGTTAATAATGAGTTGCCCCTCCGTGCTAGAAATTTTTGGCTTCATGCATACTGAGGTTTTGCGAATAGTCTGTGAAAGACCTGAACCTTTGCTGTGTGCCAGGCTGAGTGAGTTGCTGTCTGATTTTGTACACTGTATCCCAAGGGGTAAATCTGCGGTGGTGTTTTGCCAACAGCTGGTCAGGACTATCAGCCAATTCCAGTGCACTGCAATACAGGAGGAAGAGATTCGGGCATTTATTTCTCAGGTGAATAAAGTAGGCAGTTTGCTGCAAAGTATTTGGAAATCTGAGCCAGCCGCACTTCTACCTTCTCTGCAAGAGGTTTTTGTCATTATTTCTGCTACTGGTAAGGAACAAATCTGCTCATGAAGATTTTACTCTTTCTCCATTCCCCTTGAAGTCTGCGTGTGCCTGATGGGAGAGTGACCATTGCACAAAAGAATTAATAATAACCCATTTAATTTCACTTATAGCTCAATCTTAAATAACCTGTAATATTTGTTAATTTGTAGATCAGTTTGTGAATTGAAATTGGCAGATTGGTTACCTCAGCTGATCCATTTTTGTGCAATTCTGTAACTTGTGTATTCTCTTCTCAATGGATGTCTCAATGGAGTATCTGACCAGTGGGTCCTAGGAGCAGGACAGATGGAATGGAAATGCTTATGGAGAAGGGAAAACTTAACTTATGATGACTTTAATGGTACTTTGCTGTGTTCAAGCCCCACATGGGGGCTCAAGCTTGCAGTCTCGACTGACACTCAGTGTCGTACTGTGGGAGTGCTATATTAATTGGAGTTACTGACATTCAAGTGAGACATTAAGCCAAGGTCCTTTCTGCCTGTTCAGGTGGAAGCAAAAAATAATAATGATCCTTGCATTTGATATAGCGCCTTATAATAATAATCCTTGCATTTGATATAGGGCTTTTCACGTCTTCTAGACGTCTCAAAGCGCTTCACAGAATGTGCTGTAAAGTGAATTGACTGTATATTTGTAGGCGAAATGCTACAGCCAATTGCGTACAGCAATGTCCCACAAACAGTCGTGGATTGAAAATGACCAATTAATTTTTGTTTTTTGGAGGGATTATTATCACATCATCAAGACATCTCAAAGTACTTCGCAGAATATACTATAAAGTATCGTGACTGTGTATATTTTGTGGGTTAACCCAGCAGCCAATTTGCACACAGCAATTGGCACAGCCACAAGAGTGGCCAATTTATTTGGGGATTGTTGACCAGGATACTGATAAATATCCCTTCTCTTTTCAAATAATGCCATGGGATCTTTAACGTTCATTTGGAGAGGTGGACAGGACCTTGGTGTAACGTCTCATCCGCAGGATGAGACTCCATGGCAGTACTGAAAAAATGTAGACATGGTTTGTAGAGATGTAGGGATTTCTCCTGATATCCTGACCAACAATGATTTTGATGAATTGGTAATGCACTCCATAACTCTTTATGGGACTTTGCTGGTGCAAATGGCTGTAGTATCTGCCTAAAAACAGTATCTTGTCATTGACCATGTTTACCTCTGAAGCTGTTTGAGATATTTGGACATGATTAAGTGCTATCATTGTGCAAGTTCTTCTTCACAGGCTCTTCACTTCTAGCTTGGGTTATAACCGACTGGTGGCAGAAAAAAAATGTTCTTCCAGCTATAGGCTTCTTCCTTACGGGGAGGGAGAATGAGGTAAACAGGGTCTCCTTGGAGTTGTTGCCTGGGATCCTTCTGATTGATTTCTTCTTTTTCTATCCCAGAGGTCCTCAAATTCTTGTCCTAGCTAAGTTGTGTGGAGTCCCGTAGTATAATGGTTAGAGCACCCGCTTCTCAAGTGAGAGAAACCGGGTTTGATTTCCTGCCGGGCGAAACCTTAGGCATGTTTTCTTACTCCTCTGTTTACCTAGCAGTAAGTAGGAACCTGGTTATTAGTAGATTGCCGGATCGCTTTCCAGGGGTAATAATCCCTCCCAAAAAAACATTTGATCACTCAATCCACCACTGTTTGTGGGATGCTGCTGTGCCCAATTGGCTACTGCATTTCGTCTACAAAATACACAGTCAATTTACAGTATTCTGTGAAGCGCTTTGAGATGTCCCAATGACATGATAAGACACTATATCAAATGTAATGATTATTATTTAGTATTATCAGCCAATTCAGCATAAATAGTGTTTTAAGTTGAAGTGGTCTTATGCTAAAGTACTCAACTGCAAGCTTTTAGAATAAAATGCTGGGCTTTGCAGTTGAGTACTTCAGGGTTAGGCCATTTGTAGGTCCTTCTCCTCATCGATTTCTCTTGCTGCTGGTGTACTAATGAGTACTTCAGCTGTAAATTCCTGAATATCCTCTGTAGCATGCTGTGTGTTCTGCATGTTGTTTGATTGTTTCTCTGTATAGCTGACCAGTGCTAGCTGTTCTTTTTGGGTGTTCTATAATGTACTATATAATATTTTTTGGGGTTAGACTGGTGTCTGACACGTGTGGAAAGCCATCATCAAGCTTAAGAGTATCCAAATCAAGCTGAAATGTTCATGCATCCCACCTACATATGGAATTCCAGAGATCGATTGATGCAATGTGCACCCTCTCCATGGAGGGAGTCACCCTGCTTACCTAATTCCAGAAAGTATTAGGCACAAGTTGGCAAGGGCCATGGGCTGAGCTGAGTAGGATGACTCCCTGCCCCCAGTGACTGGTCTGTCCAATACAATAATGTATCAGAGAATCGGTTCACTTGTCCACCCAGTGATTTCTTGACTGCCGTTATGCCGTGAAGTGAGGAAATCTGAGCAAATCACCCCTAACTGTTGTGGTGCACCTTCAGCCAAAACAACAACTTGCATTCACATACAGTAAAACTCACATAAATCATATGAGATGGGACAGTAACATTTAATATGGCTTACTAAATGTCTGGAAGTCCAAGTTGCATGGAAACTATAAGTCATATAAAATCCGATTGAATCAATAATCTATACTGTGCAAGCGTAACTCAATGCAGCCGGGAAGTGCGCATGCAATGATAGGTCAAGACTACATTTCCTGCATGAGCACTTACCAGCGAGCATTGGAATTGCATTTAATAGTTCTTCTGCCAGTGCGTCGACTGATCAAGATTGCTTTCCAACGATTCAGTGCAGTCGGACATTATGTGCGCTTGCGTCAATGGGTAAGGTTGTCATTTCCCACGATTAAATGCAGCTGGTAAGTGCGGGAGTAGGTGAGCGACGTTACAAGTTCAGGAGGTGATTAAAACGAGTAGGGCAAAGAAATCTAAGCGGTTTTGATAAGAAACTGAATGGGACTTGGGTGAATGTACGACTTATAAAGATAAGACTTTATACTGTAGTGCCTTTTGTGTAGGATAACGTCTCAGAGACCTTCACAATGGACGCTGAACAAAGGAGAAGGAAGTGGGAAGGGAGAACAGGAAGGTCACCGTAGGTGCAGTCAAAGAGGCAGGTATTGAGGTGGGATTTAAAGACCCAAAGAGGGAGGAAAGATGGGGAGGGATAGAGGAAGAGGTTCCAGGGGTTAGGGAAAATACCTCCTGGTGTCTGTCCTGAAACTTTGCAGATCTACATCTATGTGGACTCCTGTCGCTTAGTGGTTAGAACACTCGCCATTCAAGCGAGAGGACTTTGGTTCGATTCCTGGGCAAGGCAAAGCATTTGGCAAGTTTCCTTACTCCACACGCCTCTGTTTACCTAGTAGTAAGTAGGAATCTGGTTGTTAGTCGATTGTCAGATCGCTTTTCCGGGGGTAATAATCCCTTTGAAACAAAATAATCTTTTTTACGTAGTAATAATTTGATCACTCAATCCACGACTGTTTGTGGGACACTTCTGTGCGCAATTGGCTGCAGTGTTTCCCCCACAAATATACAGTTAATTCACTTACAATATATTCTGTAAAGTGCTTTGAGATGTCTCGAAGATGTGATAAGCACTATATCAGATGCAAGGATTATTATTATGTCCCCTTGTTCTTCTATGTCTTGATGAATCCTGATGTATAGTTCTTGGTTGACTTTTTGAATTTTAAAAAAACACTCCATAAAGTCCCTTCTAAGATGTTTCCTTTCAAGATCGAAAAAATAGTCCATAAACATACTAAATCCAATTGAAATTTGTATGAAAAGGTACAGTATGATATTAGAAAATTAGATTCATCAGAACAGGCAGGCAAGACCTTGGTTTAATGTCTCATATGAACGACAGCAACTCTTAACACTACAGCATCTACCTCAGTACTGCACTGAACTCAGGAGGGTTCACGGACAACCTTTTTTTTGGTCTAGGACAGTTTTGGAGCTTAAATACTGTTGTGCAAGGATTGAGTCCTTATTTGTGTGAATTTGGTGTAACAGTGTAAATAGTACACTGCATTGATTTGCCAAACCAAACACCAGTAACTGTTTGTCCACTTTACAGATTACTCTTTCGAACCATCTATCGCCCTAGCAAGCCTTGTTCAGCACATCCCATTGCAAATGATCGCAGTTCTCATTCGGAGTCTGATCACAGACCAAAACGTTAAAGATGCCAGTATGACTTGTGCTCTCTGCAGGTACAGTTTAAATCAGTTTAACAAATATAATTGAAGACAGGGAGAGGAGGATTTTTCTCTTTACCAAATCTTGATTTATGTTAAGGTATCAGAATATTTTTTGCACTTGTATTAACAATGGAATAATGTTTTTGTCCTTTAGAAATTGATCAATTCAAAATATTGGACTAGCAAGCTGTCTAGTGGATAATGTACTTTTGCCTCTGGTATTTGGGTTCACATCTAGTCCAACTGATGGGATGAAAGTCTTCTCCATTGGGTTTAAGGGCCCTATATAAATTTAGTCTCAGCTTATTTCTACAGTGCAAAACTACCCAAATATGGGACTCAATGGTTAATCTCTCTCAGGACACAGAATAGCTTCTGTGAGAAATAGAAAATTCTCTTGTGATACAGTAGGGATTCTCTCCAGAGATTAGAGTTGAAGAGAATTGTTGAAGCAGAGAAGTAGGTACTCCTATTGTAAAGCCACGCTATGTCTGATCTGAGAGTGCTGGATGCTGGCGCTAGATGTCTGTAATTGTCCTATTCCAATTTTCCAGCATCGATATCCCTAATCTTGATGAGAATGTGGAGTGGGAGTAACATCGATTTAAAACTTTTTTAAAAAAAATGTAAGACTTTAAGGAATAGGGAAATGGGACATGATGATCTAAATATATGTGATGAGATGTAAAGTGGGGGGGTAAGGGGAGAGCTCCACACTTTATTAGCATTTGTGTTTGTTTTTTGATCGTGTGTAAGCTTACTTTTGCTCCCAAATCTTTTGTTGTCTGCAGGATGATTGACTGGCTGTCCTGGCCATTGGCTCAGCATGTAGAGACCTGGGTGACTGCACTGCTGAAGGGACTGGCTTCTGTCCAGAAGTTCACTATCCTCATAGATGTCACGCTGCTTAAAATTGAACAGGTATGGCACAACCCAAGCATGATTACTTTTTTGTTACATGATACGTCAAACCATACCTCAATAATGACATCCATCCCCTCTTCTCCATCACTGACGGCCATGCTTTCAGCCCTGAATTTCTGGAACTCCCTGTGTCAATCCCTCCATCTTGCCCCCTCTTTGCCCGCTATGAGATGCTATCAGCATGAGGGGTGCTAAATAAATGCAATTTGTTGTTATACTGCACACCTAACCGCTACTTTATGGCCCTTCACTCACACAAGTTTTTTTATTTTAACAAAAAAACTGATTTATTTTAAATCTATATTCTGTATTGACCATGTTGTTGAAGTAAATTTAACTTTCATACATTTGTCTGACACATGATTAATATGATTTTATTGTGTTGCGGCAATGCCCATCCATCTGTGGAGACTGACTTGTAATTGAATAACGTTCAACTTAATGAGCAAGGTGTCATGTTCTCCCCTTCCTGGATTGCTTGCTTCCTTTTTAAGTTGTGGGCCTTTGTCCCTCACACTCTTTCTGTATGTCACACCCTCTGTATATACTGTTGGTGTATCTGTTAGTGATGTGCTAAATTACCAACTAAATTTAATTTCCACTATCAGGCCACCACGTACATTTTAAACGGAAAGGGGTTCTGATTGAGTGAACGCTAAATAAGAATAATCCTTACATTTGGTATAAGTGCCTTTCACGTCAGGAGTTGCCCTAACGCGTCACAGGATATACTGTGTATAAGTAGGCGAACATGGCAACCCAAATGTGCACAGCAATGGCAAATAGCCATGAGTAAGTGACCAATTTTATCTGGGAGGGAATGTTAGCCAGGACACCAGGAGAAACTCCCTTCTCTTTTTGAGTAGTGCCATGGAAATCGTTAATGTTCATCTGAACAGGCATACGGCACCTCAGTTTAACATCTCATCCAAAGGACACCACCTCTATCAATGTGACACACCCCTAGCACTGCGTGGAAGTGTCACTTTACACTATGTGAGTTGAAGTCCTACCTTTTGAACTACAACCCTCTGTTTCAGGCGAGAAAACTACCAACTGAGCAAGGCTGACACATCTGCAGTCACCTGAATTGTGAACCACATTAATCTAGAGAATTAATATGAGCATGTGGTTCCCTAGAAACAAACCAAAAAAATTGGGAATGTGAATTTTTTTTTGTGTAAGGCAGCATTCCTGTGACAATTATTGTGAAACTAGCATTGTATTGTTTGCTGGTTCAGACCTACAACAACACTAAATTACATTTGTATAATGCCCTTCACATTGGAAAGTCGTCCCAGGGCGCTGGACAATCCCGGATTTTGAACCCGAGTTGGGATCAGGAGGGTTGGAGGCCATTGGCCGAAGGCACAGTCGAAGAGGAAGGTCTTTAGACAGGCCTTGAAGCAGGCAAGTTTGGGAGTGAGGCGGAGTAATTATGGGATAGAGTTCCAGAGTGTGGGGGCAGAGATGCTGAATGCTCGACCGCCAATGGTGGGGCGGGAAGTGCAGGGGACCTGGAGCAGGCTGGTGTCCTACCTACAAGCAAGTCCCTACAGAGACTTGAGTCTCCAGTTGCCTCCATATACTGTAGATCTGAGTCAATGTTGTAAAATCGCCAAGTTGGTGTGAGCAAGTCTCACCCCATTCCACATCCACGAGGAGGCTTTGACATCACGCAGTAAGCATCACAGTGACATTGAAGCATTGATACATAGTCGATGTTAAAACGTTTCGTTTCTGCCAACTAGTAGCAGAACCACAGGCTTTTATAGTGATTCTGCTGCAGTTATGGAAACATAGAAGCAGGAATAGGCCATTCAGTCCATGGCTGATCTGTACCTTAAGTCCAATTACCTGCCCTTGTCCCGTATCCCTCAATATCCTGACCTAACCAATAGCCATCCACCTCAGTCTTGAAGATGTGAATGGATCCAGGATTCACAACCTTTTGGGGGAGAGTTCCAGATTTCCACTACCCTTTGAGCGAAAAACTGCCTCCTGATTTCACAAGTTGTGGATTCCCCCGCCAGAGGGAATAGTTTCCCTGCATCTAGCCTATCGAATCCCTTTATTATTTTAAAATAATATTGTTATCTGTTAACCAGCAATTCTGCTATCAATATCTGGGAAGAGAACATTGCAAAACACATCCAATACCTTTTAAGTCGGATCATAATGCACGTGCAGAATGTCATTTGACCCAATGGCCTTTTAGAGATCCCAGAAAAACAAGTCATTTGGCTTTTGGGAGTTCCAGGAGCCCTGACAAAATGCAGTGGAATAGCCATCCTAGATAAGTTATGTTGTGACCAAACCAACCTCTACATTCTGGGCTGGCTGCAAGAATTTTTTTTTGAGCCAGATTTCTTAAAATCACGCTCGCCTCCAAAATAGACCTTGGGAATCAGATATGAAATGGGACCAGTTAAATAAAAACGTTTTAAAACCAGAAAAGGGTTAAGAGATGATGGTTGAAAGTAAAGGTTTACAGCGATGTATCAAATGTAAAGCTACTTCTGACATCCAAATAACTTTACTACTACAACAGCCTTTATTTCAGTGTCACAATGTATGAGTTGACAAACATACAAAACCGATTGCCCCAGGGAGATTGGAATTAGTCCAGACCTGGCAGCATAATGGTCGATTGCGTCAACATTTAAGGGGACACAAGAGAAATAAGAATTTGATTACAAGGCATATTATATCTTGATACAGTATGATGACTCAACTTTTGACCTCCTGATGTGGATAGAATATAGGAAGGTCCTTGTTGGAGAGCTCGTAGACGTCTGTGTCTGTGGCTGATTCATGGAGCAGGATTCTTGCCTCTGAGCCAGAGGTTGTGGGTTCAAGCCCCACGTCAGAATTTTGAATCCACATACTCTGGACTGCATTCCAATGAAGTGCTGAGGATGTGCTGCATTGCGAGAGGGGCCATCGTTTGAATGAGATATTAAACCCAGGTCACGTCTGCCTGTCCAGGTGGATGTTAAAGATCCTATGGCACTTTTTGACAAGGGGAGTTTCTCCTGGTGTCCTGGCCATTGATCCCCCAGGTAAAATTGTCCATTCACGTCATGCCCGTTTGGAGTACATTACTGCGCACAAATTGGCTGTCACATTTGCCTACAAAATCCAATCACTACACTTCACAGTATATCCTGTGAAGGCGCTGTGAGACACTTCCTGGCGAGAAAGATGCTGTATCAAATGCAAGGATTATTATTATTATGAATGTTGATACATTGTTCTAATGTGGAACCATCGGTGTTGCATAACAAACTATGATTTGATAATATTCGGTGTTGAAAACAAATACAACTACTTTTTTAAAGTATTTGATTGTTAGCTTATCCCAAGATTGTTTCGGGCCTTTTTCTCTTTTTTTCACTCCGTCCTCCCATGCCTCCAAAACCACCAATTATATACGAAACGCAAAATACTGCAGATGCTGGAAATCCGAAAACAAAAACAGAAGTTGCTGGAAACATTCAGGTCTGGCAGCATCGAATCTGACGAAGGGTCATGGACCCGAAACGTTGACAGTTCTGACGAATGGTTGTAGTCCGGAAACATTGACTCACTTTACATAGACGCTCCCTGACCTGCTGAGTTTTCCCAGTGACTTCTGTTACTGTTTCCGCCAATTATATAATTGTCACATCACCTGAAGCTGAAAGGAATTGCAGTATTGTAGTTTGTGAAAATTCTCTCTTCTTGGTTATCTTTTTGAGCTGATCTGGAGGATTTATTGACCTCTCCCTCTGGTACCAACTGAATTTACAGCTGACTCCTCTTTGAAACGCTGACTTACTGTGAGATCTCAGGTCCCTTTGATCTCTCTTCACAACACGTTTTGTCAGATTTCTTCTTCATTTTGTTCACAAGGCACAGCACTCATTGTGTTCCATTCAGTATTAGTTAGATGAAAGCTGAGTTTGCAATGGTCCTGTGTGCTTGTTCACAAGTTGATGATTTGCTGACTCAAAACCCAAGTCTAATCGTGTTTTATCCAGTGCCTGGCTCAGTGATAGAACTCTTACCTCTGGATTTACTTTCTCAATCCCATTTAGCACCTTATATGCATTTTATAAGGTTCCAAAGCTTAACCTATGTGCTTGTTCCTTATTAGCCGAAAGCATTTTTAGTTTCTCATTAATTGAAATATTGTCATACAGGCATTTTTTTTCGGCATGTTCTGGTAGCTTAGACTATAATAGACTGAAAGGAATTGCAGTATTGTAGTTTGTGAAAAACATGTCTGTGAAACAGTTTATGATGCTTCAAAATCTTCCCCTGTTCTTTACAGCTGATTTTATTTTTTCTGTGCAGGTATTTCATCGTCTCTGGTACCCAATAGTGAGACCTGGTGCTTTAGCTGTCCTGTCTCACATGCTGCTCAGCTTTCAGCATTCTCCAGAAGCCTTTCACCTGGTAAGTACCTAGTGTGCACGTTTATGCATGTGTAAATTGTGATTTTAAATGGTACATTTTCAACTGCAGGACTTTAGGTCTACTAATCCACACTCACCACAGTCACTGCAGTCAATATGTAGGGTCTCCAGTGGTTAGAAACTAAGCTCAAGTTCATCCAAGATTGTTTTTGATATGTGCAGTAATGGTTAGCATGGGTACTTTCAAGAGGAATTGAATAGGCTTTTCATAGCAATGGGACTTGTTTTTCTGTGGATGTATGTATGTGGTGGGGGCGTGGCGGGCGGTTGGTGGAGAGAAATAGGCAGCAGAGATGGTATTTTAAAATGATCTTTTCTGATCTTGCTGACTCCTGTGTTGCTATGTTTGACTTTGCTTCCACATTGGAAGAATTTTTTTGTTCCCCAGCACTGGAATGATTTCAAGGAAGAAGTTTGTGGTGTAATACACTTTGTGTATCAGATTTTACTTTTTACAGGATCAGAAAAGATTATCACAGTCCATCTAGCCAGTCCCAAAGTGAAAATAAACCGTGCTCCATTCTGCAAGTCAATTGATTTCTTCACCAAATATATGGAAAATATATTTTCCATATCTTAAGATTGCTTTCCCTGTACCCTCTGCAATTCTTCCATTCTTTTTTCTGCCACATCTTACCCATCCCTCTCTCTGTTTTATGCTGAACTGATCCAAACTTTCCCCCTTCTCATTGCCCCATTGGCGATAAAATTAAAACTCTCCAACTCATTCTTTTCCGGAGCTTCACTGTTCCCGAGCTCCTTGCCTCCCCTCCCTCAATCAAATAGCTCTTCTACAATCTACCCACTTTCAAAACCCAAGCTTGCTGCCGCCCGACCTGTTTTTTTGTTAATCTTTTCCATGTTGGTGCACCTAAATTATCAAGAGGAAGATTGTGCATGTGTTTTGATAACTGCACCATAACTAATAGAATGGTTAAGTTCTGCATGATCAGTGCTGCACTGACTTTCCAGAAATTGTACTCTTTGCTATACTCCCTCAGCTTCATGCCACCACCCAAAAGGCACTGAACTAAATACAAGGATTATTATTATGATTTTCAAATCAGAGGCAAGAGTGTTAGCAACCGAGCCAGACTGACATGCAGCCATGAAGTGACTGACTAGTTTTATCCGTTGTACCTCATTGCACTTGTGACACCAAACTGGTTTCTCCACAGATTGTTCCTCACATAATCAAGCTGGTCCAGTTCCTGAAAGAAGAAGCTATGCCTTCAAGTAAAATCTTCCTGATGCAGTTGACTGAGCTGGTACATTGTATGATGTACCAGTATTCTGGCTTCCCTGATCTCTATGAACCTATTCTTGAGGTCATCAAGGTAAAAATCTGAGCAACTACTTTTTGAGTTTAAATAATTCTGTATTGGGCACAATGTGTACAATGCGAGCTGCTGGTGCAATATTGTTTCCCAGGACCAAAAGTCTTGGACACTCAGCACTTTCCTCCCAGGATGAAATGTAGGCTCTTAAAATCCAAATTTGTCAGCATCTATGTCGGCAACCACCTCTTGTTGATTATCCTCGTCTTCTCCCAATTTGTCTCCCCTGCTGTTAGGGTTCTCAGCCCTTCATTTGGGTGTGTTCAATAAAAAAAAACAGAAAACATCAGATTCAGTTACAGGCCTTTTGTCTCTTTTCCCTCCCTAACCTCCTTTTGTCCCCCTGCTCCGAATTATTTTACTGCTGGATTTCAAATCCTCTCCAACGACATAAATGGCGCACGTCTGTTACATTTAGGTTCCCCCTAAAGGGGGTTACCAGTGTAGATGGGGATGGGGAGACAGAAAAAACCCCAGCAAGCAACAACCCTCTCACAGGAATCTTATATCTCATATCTGCTGTCTGCACGCAAATGCAGCTGAAATCCTCGTGCATGCGTTTGTCATCTCCCACCTGGATTATTCAAACTCACTCCTCACCGGTCTCCCCAGCTCCACCATTCAAAAGATCCAACTCATTCAGAACTCTGGCACCCACATACTGATCTGGACCAAATTGCGTACCCACATCTCACCAGTTCTGGCCAGACTCTACTGGCTCCCCATCACTCAACAGATCAACTTCAAGATCCTCACTCTCATGTTCAAATCCATTCACTCTCTGGCACCTCCCTACCTCCCCGACCTCCTCACTCCCCAATCCACCACCCGACGCCTCCACTCGACTGACACTGGCCTCCTGCTCATCCCTCGCACCCTCCACCCCATCGTCGGAGGTCGTGTTTTCAGCCACTGCACCCCGAAACTCTGGAACACTCAATCCCTCCGCCTTGCCCCCTCTCTTTTTCCCCTTTTTCAATTCCCACCTGAAGACCTTTGACTGTGCTTATGGCCTCCCCACTCCCCTCCCCCCTCCCAGCTCGGAGTCAGGCCCCCCTACTGTTAAGTGCTCTGAGATGCTATCCTGCGTGGAGGGCACTACATAAGTGCAAGTTGTTGTTGTTGCTTGACTACAAACTAGGATTGATGGCAGGGGTCTAAGATTGGATTTTCCCGTCTTTACGAGTTGATACTCTAGAAGTGCAGATGTGGGCGGGGTGTTTCATGGGGTCAGTGTTGGGAAGGACAAAAAAAACTCTGATGATTTTATTGACCACGTTGTTGCCACCTGATTGGAAATTAAGTGCGCCTCGAATGTCGTGTACTTTTGTCCTGCCGGCAGGGTAGAGTTTGCAGCACCGATATATAATTCCCTTATGCGGTGAAATGCCTTGCGGTGCAGTTCTGGATAAATCCTGTGATGCTGGGGGGTGGGGGGAAGCCTCGCTGACCTCAGGGGACCCAGTGTTGCAATTCTGCAGCAGGGCAAACACGACGGGCAGGGAATGTTTTGATTTTGTTTGCACAATTTGAGGAGATTGTGCATCTGCAGCTCTCTAGCGCCAGTGCAGCAGGTTCAGTTATTGTTATCGGCAAAATTGAATTTGAGAACACTTGACTTTACTAGAGGTAACTGGACAGACCAATATTGTGACAGTACTTGGACAGTATCTGGAGTCAGCGTGTGATATTTGGACCTACAGTATGCAGCAGCGAAAGAGTTGCCTATCATTGCGCCCTGCCTGGGAATCAAACCCAGGTCCTCTTGCTTGCGAGGCGAGTGCTCTGACCACTAAGCTACAGGACTCTACTGTAGTGCAAGTCTAAAAACTACCCAGGCATATATCCTTGGCATAATTTCTTGATTAAGTTTTTTAATCCCAAAAAGTATATTATGACGATTGCTGATTTCCCTCTCATTTTCTTGCCGCATGGTTATGCTGTGGAAGTGTTTCATTTTTAACATTTCAATGCAATAATGTTCATTGACCAGCAGAGGGTAGAAGAGGAGTGAGAATATTGCACCAGAGAAGAAAGCTCACCAGTGACTGTCTGCTCTTTGGGGTTCCAGTTTTACAGCTTATTAACGCGTGACAGTATCTCAAATTTTTCTTATAAAGAACTCCTAGGTTTTGAAACTTCTTCTGTCAGGGCCTGTACAGATTAAATAAATACATGCTTATTAGAGTACCGAACAGCTTGGGACAGGTTAGTTACTCTCCCCCACACCGCATGCCCCACTATGTTCTTGTTTTTAGCTGTGCCCCTGTCGGACTAGAGTGAGAATGGACTCCCAGTACCTAATGTACACCAACTCGTGGCTTTTTTCACAATAGCAATGATAGAGGAATGAGTGTGGGGCTCTGGTTGATGTGATGCAGAGAAATCATTGGAGCACGATGAAAATACCACAGAAGAAGGTATTTTCATGCTTCTCAAAATAACTGTGTTAACTCAAATTAAGGTCAATTCATCTCATTAACTGATTATTCTGTTGTTTCTGAGCTGACCTCTTCACGTTCACGCTATTCAGGCAGTGGAGGGAGGTCTGTCCTTATCTGGTCAAACCCTGCCTCGGCTGATGGGATCCAAGTCACTAATTCATTCTCATTGAGAGGCCACATGGGAAGTCACTGAGGACAAAAGTAACCCCAACCTCTCTTCTCGCCCCACCCCAAAATAAATGTATATTATGCTGATTGCTGATTTCCCTCTATTTACTTGCCCCGATCATAAGATTGGTTTGGATGAAGAAAGCTTTTCAACCCATTTGTTCTCATCCTTCCATCCAGTATCAAGCTGTTGTTTTAAATGAGTCCAGTGTCCTGGCCTCAACCACCCTTACTGGTAACTTGTTCCAGTTATTGATTACCTGGTATAGAAAAACGTGTCTGTCCTGAAATTGCCCTTTGCAACTCTAAAACTATGGTATATAGCCTTAGTACATCCTAACGTATTCTGGATTTACTTTTCAATTCCATTTAAAATGTTGTGCATCTATAAGGCATATTTTATATGCCTCTCTATGCCCCTCTGAAATTCTTGTCTCAAGACTGAAGAGTCCAAGTTCTTCTAATCCTCTAACAATGAAGATCATCCTTATTGCTCTACTCAGCATTGGCTCTAGGGCTAGGGCAGTCTCTTGTGTTGCGTACTAGATCTATGCGCAGTGCTCTCTCTACATACCATCTGACCAGAGCATGATATAGCTTCAGAATGATGTCAAGGGATCTGAAATCAACTGATTTAGCAATATAGCCGAGCATCCTGTTTGCCTCGTGTTGATTTGGTTTGATGGAGCTGTTTTTTTCAAGGAACAGCTGAAGACTTTAGTTTCGAGCAGAAAGCTCTATGCTCTTACTTGTGCCTGTTTTGAACTTGAGAGAGATTTCCAATGACTTTAGCTGATAATACAGAATTAAGCATTTCTTTTCCCCCACCACATGGACATTCCTGAGCAGAAAAGTATTATAGTGTGAAACCTGTTTAAGCGGCCTCCTCCATTCAGCAACCACCCTGGAACAGCCCGGTTAACCCGGTTTGCGTAGACCACCCTTCTATAAAGACCACTATATAAATTCAAGTTGTTGTTGTATTGAGCTATAGGAATTTACAGAACAGAAGAAGGCGAAGCAACTCATTGTGTTCTGACACTTTGAAAGGGTAGTTTACTCCGTTCCATTTACCTGCCCTTTCCTAACGTATAATTTTGATAATGTCCTTCCCAATCTAATGGGGGAAAATCAGATTTATAATTGCATAGCCTCAAAAGTTGCTCTATTTAATGGAAAGAGGAGCTTCTTTACCCCCCACCCCATATTAAATAATAATAATTATTGCGTTTGATATTTAATTTAAATTTAACTAATCCCATTTTTTGTTTAAAAAATGTGCCTCTTGTAGGATTTGCCAAAACCCAGTGAAGAGAAGATGAAGCTCACTCTGAATCAAAGTGCCTGGACATCACACTCCAATTCCCTGGCTTCCTGTTTGTCCAGGCTTTCTGGAAAATCTGAAACGGGAAAAACTGGCTTAATAAATCTGGGTAACACATGCTACATGAACAGCATCATCCAGGCATTATTTATGGCTACCGAGTAAGTAGCAGAATGTATTCTAGTGTTGTATTGGNAAAAATACCGCAGGAAATGGCTTTAACAAACAACTGTCGACTGCTATCCTTATTATAACTCATGCTGACTTGAACACAAATGCTTTTTGGAGCCAAGACCATAGCAGTATTTAAAAAGTAACTGGATAAATATTGAAGAGAGAGCAGGGAATTGGGATTAGAGTTGATAGCTCCAGTGGGGAATGTGTTACTGACGCAGGCTGAATTGCCTCCCTTCTGTGTTAGTGTTATAATTGCTATGATTCTACGCGGATTAAATGTAAGGATTGAAAACAGTAATAAATTGTCATTAGAAATGTGTCATCTCTCTGAGAAACCTTAGTTGTATCATAAATAAGACTGGTCATTTTTTTGAGCGAGTGGTGGGAATTGGAAATATGAATCAGAAACCAAATTGATTCACTTCTGCTAAATGGGTTTTGAGAAACGCATTATTTTCAGTTTCAGAAGGTCTGTTTTATCACTGAGTCTAAATGGATCCCGCTCCATAATGAAAAAACTTCAACTTCTGTTTGCCTTCTTGGCCCACACTCAGGTATGTTTTTTTTTCCCGAAGAAAATCAATAAATAATTTGCTGGGATATGAAAACTCCACGATCTGTTGTCACTGACCTCCTATCTGCAGGCTCCAATTCATAAAACCCTGTGCGTTAAGGTCTTGATTTGGGGGAAATTTAAGAAACTACACATTTTCTTGGTCTAAGGAATGTTTTTGTTTAATGATCTTTAAATCTGAGATTTCTGCAATGGAGCCAATTGCAGTGTAATTATTTATTTACTAGCCCCAGGTGGTTTTGAAACTGGACAGTAGCGTAATTGCTCTGCTGTATGTGTTCTTACATTGTCATCTGTATTCTTCCACAATTCAAGGTGTACAATTGTATTCCCCACAACACAATAATCCTGGCTCAGTTGGTAGCACCCTCGCCTCTGAATCACAAGGTTTGTGCAGTTCAAGCTCCACGTTAGGACATTGAACTCATAGTCTAGGCTGACACCACAATACAAAATCGAAGGTGCTGGCCTTTGAATGAGACATTAAACCAGAGCCTCATCTGTTGTTCATATGGGTGTTAAAGATCCCATGGCATATTCAAAAGTCTATTTGACTAATCGAATAGTCTTCTGCATAATAATTTCTCTGCATAGAACACTTTACAAGTTTATCAAGCCTTCAGACACTATGACGGTTGGAGGATTGGCTTTTTTAGAATTCAGTTAAAAAGTGAAATGAATTCAAATCGCATGTGCCTAATGAAACGCGTCAGAAATTTTCTTTTGGAGTTATTGCCACTGAAAAAGAATGGAATAAACACCATGAAACTTAACATTTTCCTCCTCTGCTCTTCTGACAGAGAGCAGCATATGCCCCTCAAAGCTTCTTTGAAGCATCGAGACCACCATGGTTCACCCCTGGCTCCCAGCAGGACTGTTCTGAATACCTCAGGTTCCTTTTAGACAGGTAAGTAACCTGCGAATTCTGGCCGGCGGCAGCCACTCTGCACTTAAGCGTGATACAATAAGATGCAATAATGAAGATATTGACTAAGAATGTGATTGGTGGGGTGGGGGTAGATTGCATTTTCAGATGTAGAAATTAAGTTACTCAGCAACAGTTTCACGACTGTTTGTGGGACTGCTGTGCACAATTGGCTGCCGTGTTTCGCCCACAAAATATACAGTCAATTCACTTTACAGTATATTCTGTGAAGCACTTTGAGACATCTCGAAGACATGATAAAGCGCTATACCATATGCAAGGATTATTATTATTTCAAGCAGAATTGGTCACGTGTATCTCGCCTCATAATTTCTGAATCCTTGAATTGAATTCTGTATCCTTTTTTACACTTCTTTTGTACATGTGGCATGCCTCAACTGTTCTACTTTTTGAGTTGTATTAATCTGGTATTTATGAGTTAGACCTCTTTGCATTTGATAAATTTGTGAATCTTACTTTTTTAACGAAAAAGAATGCATTTCAATAGGAAGGTTTAATTAAAATGTTTAACTTTATTATATTTAAAAGACAGAAACTCTATTAGATGCATGCGCTTTTCAAACTTGTCTTTCTATAGATGTAGGAAGCTGCTTCTCTGCATTCTACCAGCACCCGTGGAGTCCTGTATCTCAGTGGTTAGAGCACTCGCCTCACAAGCGAGAGACTGGGTTTGATTCCCAGCAGGGTGAAACCTTGGGCAAGTTTCCTTATTCCACACGCCTGATAATAATTCCTCAAGAAAAGAAAATGATGAATTGGTTATTTCAACCCACGACTGTTTGTGGGACGTTGCTGTGCGCAATTGGCTGCCGGATTTCACCCACAAGTAAACAGTCAATTCACTTTACAGTATATTCTGTGAAGCGCTTTGAGACATCCTCCCGACGTGAAAAGCACTATATCAAATGCAAAGATTATTATTATTATCTAGAAGACGTGAAAAGCGCTATATCAAATGCAAGGATTATTATTATTATTATTAGCCTATTATTAGCCTCCCTATGGCTCGGTGTCATGCTTCACCACTGTCGAGCGCTCTGGGACGCTACCCTGCGTGAGAGGTGCTATATAAATGCAAATTGTTGATGTATGGCTCTCCTTGCTTGACATCCACCCCCCCCATGGTACTGCATTCTAAGGTATTATAAGTATAGCAACCACGCTATATCAATGCAAGTTGTTGTTATTGATGTGCGAGGCATGGAATTATGAGGCAGCTGCGACATGGTGTTTGCATTTGTCGCAACTTGTGGTGGAGGGTGGGGGAAAAGTAAGAAAGAAATTCGCATATCAAACGCTGCCTGATGCAAAACTGGACCATTGACATTCAAAGGGGTTATTCTAGATTCTTCTGAAACGACAGAAAGCCGATAATATTGTTCAGCAGTCTTTTTGTATTGTGTTATGACCTCCACTGATCAACAGAGGTTTCCCACCGAGCTGAGAACATGGTGATGTAGTGCAGCAGGTGAAATAGTGCAGTGTGTGATGCAGAAAGCTCAGCGTCAACGCCATTAATCAGCATTGCCAGCTAGGTTTGATGGAGGTCACACTCAAAACATTGGCCATTCTTCCTCTTTCTGGGGATGATTTACCTAGTTGTAGTATTTTCTAGTTTCATTATAGATTTTCGGCATCTTCAGCTCTTTATATTCTCTCTTGTTCTCTTCCCCCCCTCCTCTCTCTCGCCTCCTCTCCCCTCCTTCCTTCCACCCCAATTACTTGGATCTACCTTCTTTAACACCTGTAACTAGGCATAAGTTCTGGATATCGACCAGTCAAAGTCGGCTTTGATCGTTTTTACCAGCAGCAAACATGTTTTCAGTTTGCATCCAAATGGCCCATGGGTGCTGTCTGTCTAACTCACCTTTATTTTGTGTCCTTTCTAGAATAACAAGCTGTTTGTGTAGTGCATTCAGGGAGTGCATTTTCGGGAGTACTCTGAGTTGGTAAAACATAGTTGAATATTTTCCTTTGCCATGAAGTATATTCTTTATTGGCTTCAGATTAACAACTATGACTTCAAACATGAATGAGTCATTGTATGACCTCAGTGACTGACTATGCAAGCCTATCAGTTCACAGTAAACTGTCATTAAACTAGGTTTGGTTTGCCTGGTTATTAAGCTTCAGGTACAACGATAAAGCCTCATTATAAAGCTTTGGTTGATGTCCATAAATTAGCCAGTTTCACAATTCTGGCAGCTTGCTTCCTGTGCACCTGTTGGTACTTGCTTTGCGCATGCACAAGAAGTGACATCAGCGATGATCTGGATCACTGTTGATGTCACTTTTTGTGTGTTGCACATGCGTGTAGCCTGCAGGAAGTGGGCAATTACTTGAGTGTTTTCAGCGGTTGCCAGGGCACCACTTGACCTCAGAGCCCTCGGCTATATATGTGCAGGAAGCCAGAAATATATCATGCTTCTGGTATACATAGGTTCACAGTACACCTACACTAATCCATAACAGGGTTGGCCTCTATTATTAACTTGTGTTATTTCAATACTGAATTTATTCAGTGTCTCAGCCTTGCCAGTGGTGGTGAGCGGTGGGGAGAGGAATGATGGAGATCAGTGTTGACAAAGGCTTCAGAGCATGTTGGCTGCCCACCTGTCCTCACTTGCTGGTTGGCATGAGGAGTGTGGGTGAAGAAAATACAATAGAGTAAATCTTTAGGATTCAGAAAAACATGATCATGGAAGTATTACTTCCACCATATTCAAACCACCACATGTCAGAAGGATCTTGCACCAGGTGGGATTTGAAGAGAAATGTGAAAAGCAGATTGGCTGCTGTAAATAGGACAAAGGGATCAGAATAAGTGGATTCAGCCATTGATGAAATGAACAGAATGCTGTTCATTTCATAAATGGGGCCTTTGAGATGTTTTTTTCCCCCAATTGCCAATTGGACTCCAGTTAAGTAAAAGACCAGAGATTCATTTTCATGCTCCTTTTCCGCCTCTGTTGCCAACATTGTAGCAGGTGGGGTGCAGCTGGCTCAACAGTCCCACGAGTGGCCCGATCATCATGAAAAATGCGAGCATGAAATGAAGGACCAGAAACTCTGATTGCTGAGTTGCGAAACCTGTGCTAGAAGCAAAAATCTCTGCCAGTGACCTCACTTGAGCATCGGCTGTAGTGCAGCCAGCAGAGCATCGTAACTAGGCATTTTGAGTGACCATGCATGCACGGTATCGTTTCTGTGTTGCTCCCAGCTCCATAGACTATTACAACGACAGCGACAAAATTACATTTGTAAAGTGCCTTTCACATCGGGAGAACATCCCAAGGCGCTGGACAGTCAGTGTTTCAGACCTGAGCTGGGGAGTCAGGATCGGGAAGAGTGGAGGGCGGGGGGGGAGGAGGGTGATCGAAAGCACGGTCGAAGAGGAGGATCTTGAGATGGGTCTTGAAGGAGGCAAGGGACGCGGTGAGGCGAAAGGACTGCAGGATGGAGTTCTAGAGGGTGGGGGTAGAGTGGCAGATGCACCGCCCGATGTGAAATAGGCCATAGCCCACTGAGCGGAGGGAGCAAGCAGGTTGGTAGTGGGGCAAGACAGCATCAGACCCTGCTGTGGTGCAATCTGTGGTTATGTAGCCTGTGGGATAGGGAACTCTAAGTCCACTCTAACACATTGTAGAACAGCTACTTGAGCCTAATACTGGAGGGGACAGTGATCCTGAAACTACCCCAATATGTTAGTGTCATCGAGATCAGTTTTATTAAGTATGTGCTGTTGGGATCTCTCAGTACAGATGTACATTACTTGTGACGTGTGCTTTGGAGGTTGCAGGAAATGCTAAGTAATTGTATTGAAATAGAGAGAGAGAAAAACTCCTGTGTTTTCAAATAACGAAAAGCTGTATTAATAAGAGTGAAGGTGCGGAAGTTAATAATAATCCTTATGTTTGGTGGAGCTCTTCCACATTGGGAGGATGTCCCACAGTGTTTCAAAGAATAATAATCTTTACATTTGATATAGTGTCTTATCACATCATTGAGACGTCTGAAAGCGCTTCACAAATACACTGTAAAGTGAAGTGATTGTACAGTTTGTGAGCGAAATGGATATACTGTAAAGAGCAGTGACTATGTGAAGATGTGACTATGGGAAGGTGAGTTCAATTCCAGGCAGGGCGAAACCTTGGGCAAGTTTCCTTACTCCACACGCCTAATAATAATCCCTCCAAAGCCAAAAACAATAATAAATTGGTCATTTTCAATCTACTACTGTTTGTGGGACATTGCTGTGCGCAATTGGCTGCCGCGTTCACCCACAAATATACAGTCAATTCACTTTACAGTGTGTTCTGTGAAGCGCTTTGGGACGTCCTCCCAACGTGAAAAGCACTATATCAAATGCAAGCATTATTATTATTAAGACTGTCGTGTGTGAAGTTCAAACGTACAAGCAGAATTACAGTGGACCTACTCATTAAACAAAAGAACCTGAGCTCTTGTGACGGCCTTGTAGCTAAAGGCAGTGCCCGGTGCAGCCATGGGTCACACAGAGCACAAGTTGTAGGTGCTGAGTTCATTGATCTCAGCCAGAGCATGAGCTGAAACATCACAAATTGTATCAAAGCCCCCAGGTTAGGGAGGTGAAGATTAGCCAGCGTTCCCACTGCGGATTGCTATCCAGAACCCTCCCTCCCTTCTCGGAAGGTGACAACCTGGTGAGAACATGATTGGACTCCGCAGTTGTATGTCTCCACCCGCCCATTTTGTGGACAAGTGGCCATGAGCAGTGGTCACCAGGACAATAGACCACACCAGAAAGATAACAAGCTCCATGGACCTGTGAGGACAACACCTTGCATTTATATAGTGTCCTTCAAGCAAGGTAGAGTCCCAGAGAGATTCCCTACACTCCAATGGGAAGATGAAAAAGATCTGAATGTCTTCAGGAGAGAAGGGAAGAGGAGAAAATTGGTGTGGGAAGAAAGAAATAGATTTAGGGTAGGGCTAAAAAATATTAGGGTAGAATGGCGTGTGCTGTGTGAGGTCTAATTGCACTGACTGATGAAACTCAGCCATCTGAATGTTTATAACCTTTAGAAATACTTTCAGCAAAAAAATCAATATTTAGAATGGGTATTTAGCAATCAACTTAAGGTACCGCATCTTGTGATCTTGTGCATGTTCCTTTATTCTTATTAAAATTCTCTTATTTCTTCTATTTTTGTGTGTGTGTGTATCTCTCTCTCCGCTCAGAATACATGAAGAAGAGAAGACGTGTAGAATTCTTCATCGGGAGAACACGCCCCAAAGCAGCGCTGCCACCTCCGGGCACGAAGACGGACCCACTCCGCACAATCGCCCCACGGAGAAGCTCTGTGTTTCCAATTCAAACCCGTGCTCGGACAACCGGGGCAAGACTCTGATCGAGAAGATGTTCGGGGGGAAACTGCAGACCACTATCTGTTGCCTGAACTGCAAGAGCACCTCTCAGAAGCAGGAAGCTTTCACTGACCTCTCGTTGGCCTTCCCTCCCTGCCTGGACCAGGTGCTAGAGGCCGGGTCCGCCCAACCGCTGACCGCACCGGGCAGCGAGAACCCGGAGCCACCCTGCCAGGCTGTGGTGGTGCCGGCTGCTGAGACCTTGCCTGGCCGCCAGGGGAGTGGTGGGGGGCAGGGGCCCGAGGTTCTCTGCGAGGAGCTCCCACTCCAGCCCGTGGGCTCCGCGGATTGCCCGCGAGCACCCAATGACAAATTGGTCCCAGTTTCCGGTGAGGGCGCTGTGAACAGGAGTCACCAAACCATGTCTGTCCCCAGGCTGATCAACTACTTCCTGGCCCCCGAGATCCTGAACGGGGAGAACAAGTATTACTGTGAGACGTGCGGTTCGCTGCAGAACGCCCAGAAGGAGCTGCAGGTGGTGGACGAGCCCGAGTACCTGATCCTCACGCTGCTCCGGTTCTCCTACGACGCCAAGAGTCACATCAGGCGGAAGATCCTGGACGACGTGGTGCTCCCACTAGTGCTGCAGCTGCCGGTGGACAAGCCGCCTGTGCCCACCTCACCGGGCGAGAACCAGTTGGTGGTCTCCGACTCCACTGAGAATGTGCCCAAGAAGCTCAAGTCTTCGGACTCAGTGAACTCCAGCGATCCGCACCGTGTGCCCTACCTCCTCTCCTCCATCGTGGTCCACTCCGGAATGTCCTCCGAGAGCGGGCACTACTACTGCTACGCCAGGAACACCGCCTCGGGCCCTGCAGGCCAGCTGTGCTGCCAGGGAGACCTCCGAGGCCTGTCCTCCCCGTCGCCGGGCTGCACGGCCCACACAGAGCCCAGCACCTCAGTCATATGGCAGGACGCAAACTGCAGGGAGACGGCAAAGGAGTGGTTTCTGTTCAACGATAGCAGAGTGACCTTCACTTCCTTCCAGTCCGTTCAGAACGTAACCAGCAGGTTCCCCAAGGACACGGCATACGTCTTGTTCTACCGGAAGCAGGATGCCGGTCACGGAGTGCTCCCGAGCGCAATAAATGGAGTGTGGGTGAATGGGGAGCCCCCGCTGCAGAAGGAGCTCATGGACGCAATCACGAAAGACAACAAGCTTTACCTTCAGGTGAGGCTTGTGCTTTCAGAGTAAAGGGTGTCGCTTTCGGAGTCGTTGCAGCCTCCCAATATCGGCAGCCTCACAGCGAAAAAAAACATCTGACCCTTCAAAGTCTGCACTGTGATACTGAAGGTTGCGGAGAGCGAACAGAAGTGGCATTGGACTAAAGAAGTGGTGGCAAACTTTATTGTCGGCTAACCATATACATTTTCTTTACAGAATTTTTCTTTATTTCTGGAGGCGCTTTGGGAACCGCAGCTCAGTAGCTACTAGAAACAAGGTATTGATATGGTGTGGACTTGCCTGGGCTGGTGCTGGTGTTCGGTGGGCTATTTCTTGACTCTCCAAAAGTGGCCTGCGGATCACTGCACCAGTGTAAGGTAATGGCCCGTGGGCCACTGATGGGGCATTAAGAAGTGGCCCAGTGAGCACCATTCCAGGCAAGTCCGCGCCAAATCAATACCCTGTTTCCAGTAGCTGTCAAGCCGTGATACCCACAACCATCAATGAAGATGTATCTGGTTGGCCATCAGTGGCTGGAGCCAACTAGTTTGTGTTGGACCAGCTCTTCGACTGGCTCCACTTGAATCCCGTTCTTCTGCTTCCTCCCTGTACGCTTTTATATTATTCTCCATTTGCGAGCGTCTATATAGTATCCTTTTAAAAGGAATAAAGATTTTTGCTCTGTCCCAGTGATGTGCCTTGAAGTCGGCAACAAAGAGCACCTTCTTCCCTATTCTGCTACCCGAATTGTCCAGAGGAAATCTAAAGGGATATGGGAGGGTGCAGGAGAGATAGGATTACATTAGGTGGTTGGCTTGTGTGAAGAAAAAGACCAGCGCTGAGTTGATGAGCCACAAGTCTGTTCCTGTGCTGTAAACACTCTATTTTCCAATTCACATTCCAGCCATCCTATCTTCCTCTCTGAGTGAGACTCCTTAATTAGACACTGAAGCAAGGACTTCTGACACTGCCCAAGCTGAACTCACGTACAGTAAGCTCCTGATAACTGTACCCTGGCTCAACTTGTCACTATTGCTTAAATCATCATACTGTCAGTATCTTGGCAGCATTTATTTATGTATTTAGACATATACCTAACTTGCCGCCCTGGATAACTCGACACTGAGCCCTTTTCCCTCAGAGTGACAAGTTATTAGGTGTTTACTGTAGTATCCTTCAGAATTGAAGGCATGAAAGAGACGCTGCTTTCAATCGCTCCTCATTTTCTCTGCAATTTCTTGTTTCCATGTTCAGATAATTCTATTAATGCATCGCTCTCCTTTTTTTTTAAATAAAAAAAAAACGATTTGAGTGAGATTTTCAAACCTGGATCTAAATTGAAATTCCCTCTCCACTTCTCTGAGCTTGCAGCTGGCCTGTTGGATACATCGGGTGATTTGTCGGCAGACACTCTAGCTTTAACAAGCCAATTACAGCAAAAGGAGAGGCAGACACCGAGTAGAGATGTGATAAAACGGGCTCACTGACAGACTCCTCATAACTCTGCTGCCTCCAAGGTGGTAGTCAAGCTGTAGTCAGAGACCCTGCTTTGTGACGCAATGCAATAAAAATGCAACAACAGGTTGCATAAACTTGGCTGGTATTTCCTTGGATTCAGTAAGTTGAGGGGTGATCTGATTGAGACAGTTAAAAGGAGAAAGATTCAATAGGGTACTTATTCTTTAAATTAGAGCTGGGCTATTTAGGAGTAAAATCGGGAAGAATTTTTTTATTCAAAGGCTAAGGGAAATCTGGAACTCTCCCGCAAAAGTCTATGGATGCTGGATCCATTCAAATTTTCAAGACTGGGGTGAGTAGATTTTTGTTTGGTACGGTTATCAAGGGATATGGGGCAAAGTCGGGTAATTAGAGTTGAGGTACAAATCTGCCATGATCTACTAGAGTGAGGGATCAGGCTCGAGGGGCTGAATGGCCTACTTTTGTTACTATGTTCCTCCCGACCTGAAAGGCTCTCTAAATGTAATTTTGTTGTTGTTGATTTGTATTCATCTTGTGTTCCTCCCCTCCAGGAACAAGAGCTTAGTGCCAGGACCAGGGCCCTGCAAGCCTCTTCTACCACTTGTTCCTTTCGTCCTCATGGTTTTGATGACAACGACCCACCAGGCAGCTGTGGCCCCAGTGGTGGCGGAGGAGGAGGCGGTGGGTTTAATACCATCAGCCGGCTTGTCTTCTGAGTCTCCTTGAGATAAGACAGGTTTCTTTTTTTTCTTAAAAAAAATCACTGCTGATAAGTGGAGAAATCGTGTCACTGGGTGCATCAAGTCGCTCTCTGGATCAGTATCTATTGATGTCAAGATGCTACCAATTGTTTCTGTTATTTCTCTTCACCCCCAGACTGTTTCTTCTTTTGTTTTTAAAAAAAAAAAACGACTTGTATACTGGCACTATTTCCTATTCGGCCCTTAAAGCAGGGAAAACAATATCGATTGCAATAATTTTTAATGTTTATAAGATTCTTAACACACCTTGCATCCAAATTTGATTATCTCCCTATTTGCATGTTAGCGTTAACAATGTAAATAAGCACTCGACTATGTAATCTGTATTTGTACAAACACTGTAAATACATTTCAAGTGAGCTTTCAAACCCAGAACTGATCAAAACATGGAAAAAGGTCCTTTTAAATTACTGCATTTCTAGTATTGTATTTCTTTTATTTCTTTTGATTTTGTGACAGTGTCAAACAAGCATCTTGCAATTTCAGGGAGCAGTTTTTGTTACACACTTGACAGACTTATTTTACCTTTTTTTGTATGCGTGCGCACGTGCTCGAGTGAGCGAGTGTATGTGTGCCTTGATCTGTACTCGCTGTAGGTATGTTAGGAGGCGGGAACAGAAATTAAAGGTTCTATTTTCAACTTTTTTTAAAAAAGCAAACCTTGAAGATGGAGGGGGAGTGGGGAGAGAAAATAAGTATTGGTATGGCTGTATTGTATTGTTTACGTTTGAAAGTTTCTAATTCATGAAACCTCGCTGTCACTTGAGGAGGTCTGCTGTTTTGAATTGCACATGTACACTAAATATAAAGGACTAGCAAAAGACTTCCTTCTCTACGCTCGCTGTGTTTTATTCATGCCTCGCTTGGCGATTCAAAGATTGAATAATCCACAGCTTTTTCCATTGCCAGCTTTGATCGCATCAAGAATTATTTTACCATTTGGCTGACCACATTTTGTGTGTGTGCGTGTGTTTTTAAAAAAAATTATAGCACTGAATATTTATTTATAAATGTTTACGACATAGCAGGTCACAAAATTAGCAAAATGGGAAAGATATACGGTTGGGGCGGTGGGGGGGGACTGGAATGCCAGCTGTTATTGCAGATTTTTACTAAATTATTGGAATTTTTATATTGATTCTTTGATAGATATGAACTGCTGTGCTTTAGGATATTGAAATAAAAAACGTATCACTTTTAAACTTTTTATATATGTTTTTTTTGAAACCGTTCAAAGATCAGCAATAAAAAAAAAACACGATTTGTTGGGTAGGAGTATTTTCCTTTGCAGAAGCATGGCTGTAATAAAAAGCATTTTATAATGTTCTGTAATATTAAACACTATTGGTACAACTAATCTATTCAGTTGCAGCACTGAATTTCTCTTCATATCTGTTTCTCTTTCTGCTTTGTTTTCTTTAAAAATCATTTTCTTGGTTTCTTTTTTTTCCCCTGGATTTTATGTCTGTCTGTCCAGTGAGTAAAATCTGAACACTTTCAAAGTCAGGTAATTTGAAATTATAAAATGGCTTTTATTGCTTTTTTTTAAAAGAAAAGGATATGGTCCAAAGGTTGTTTGTCAATGGCCCAACGTCCTTCAAAGACTATCCGGGGATGCTATTTCTAAGCGATACTACGAACATTCATTCTACACTGGCATTCATTTATACTTGTCACAATCAGTGCTCCGATTATCCTAATGGTGTCAATTCTTTGAGTGACTGGAACAGTGAGAGAATTGCAGTCAGAATAAAAACCTTAAAATGCACACAAATTGAGTAAAGGCAACCTGCTCACCAACTGATACGTAAGAATTTGCTAGACGAAAGAAGACCAAGGTCCATCCAGTTCGCCTCCACCATCCTGGGTAGTCACTTGCACATGTCGTCCCAAACTATATACTGTACCCTGAGATTGACACTTTCTGGTTCCACTGTCTCCCTCGGGAGCCTGTTCCATACATTTGTTTCTGCAGATTTGTTTTGAATTTAACCCCTTCAATCGCATGCCTTTCCTCTGGTGCTACTGTTAAGCCAGCTTATCATGGTCTACATTATCTCTAGCCTCTTTAGAATATTAATGAATCTGATGAGCAGTCTGGGTTGTTAGGTTTTAAGTAGGATGTGTTTTCATTTTCTACCAGCCCAATTTATAAATTATTACCTTGGATATCAGCCAAGGTCCTCAGCATTGATTTACTGACTTGTATACACAATAGTATCACAAGATTGGTTTGGATGAAGAAGGCCCTTCGGCCCATCTAATAAGCAGCAGTTAATATTTATTTGGACATGAGGTAAATTTATACTTTTTGTGATGTGCACTTTCTGTAACAGGATGGAAAGATGGAAATGAATGAAATAATTTTTTTTAAACGAAAATCGTCAATGGATCATGATTTCTGACTGCATAACAACCACACTCAGTTATTATTGATGATACCTTATTTTCCTTCCCTTACCTCTTCCAGAAATGTAATTTGTACCCAGTCTTGGCTTGGTAGTGAGACGTGTTGAGATTTAGCTAGAATTGTTGCAGTAAATTGGTCTTTAACAACAATTTGCATTTATACAGGGTGAATCAGAAGGCCTTACTCTGAGTTTTTAATTATTACTTATAATTTTTTTAAGATAGCATTGGTAGTGTGTGCATTTATTATAGGCGATGTCTTTTGTTGCATTTGTGAATTTTTTTGTCACAGAGTTGATATGTGTAACATGGCACACATTTTGAACATCTCATAGACCTAGGAGTAAGGACTTTTGATTCATTCTGTATAGCATCTTTCACAGCGGGAGGATGTCTCAAAGTCTTCACACAACTGATTGAGAGTCAGTATGGTGGCCGGGTGTGGGGGTTGGAAGCTGAGGAGGGGAGAGGAAAGATGGCTGAAAGCACAGTTGAAGAGAATGATCTTAGGGAGAGAGGCAGGCGGAGGGATTTCAGTATGGAATTCCAGAGAGTTGGGACGGAATGACTGAGGGCTCGTCCAATGATGGTAGAGCAGAGCGGGCGGGGGATGTGAAGAGGGCTGGTCTTTGCTGCACAGTAATCGGAGCTAGGGTGGATCCAGGCTGTGGAGGCATTTGAACGTGAGGGCAAGGATCTTGAAATTGATTCGCTGGAGGTTAGAGAACCATTGGAGCCGAGTGAGAAACTTCAGTTTGAGTTCTATAAGGGAATCGCTTAATAGTTCCCATGCCAACAGTCGTCTTAACAGTTTCAAGCCTATGAAGATGGTGACAAAATAAGGAGACGAATTACACTTTCAAATGTAGCAGGTAAATTCCTTCAAGCAAGCCGTGACCGGGGTGAGAATTGCAGTATTCTTGCACACATTCAATTGTTTATTTTTGAAAAAAGCATTAAAATGTGTTTTGAAATCTTTCTTCCCTCCCATCCCCGTTTTGTGACTAATAATGGTAAAATTCGAAATAATAGTAAAAGCCAAACACTCCAATGCAGTGTTAGTAGAGTGGTGCATTGTCAGAGGTGCTGTCCTTTGGATGAGACTTAAAACCAAGGTCCCGTCTGCCTGTTCAGGTGGTATTAAAGATCCCAAGGATACTATTTGAAAAGAAAAGGGAGTTTCTCCCGATGTCCTGGCCAACAATTGGTTGTTCACTCTGGCTGTTTGTGGGACATTATTGTATGAAATTGGTTTCCATGCTTACTTACATATACAGTCTACTCTTCACAGTATATCCAGTGAAGCGCTTTGAGAATTCTTGACGAAATGAATAGGTGCTGTATCAAATGCAAGAGTTTTTATGAAGAGGGTTAGCGGAGCATAGAGAAGGAACATCTGTTAGACAACAATTCTCTTATATCCTGAGAGGCATTGGACAAACCTCTCCAGATGTTAGGTCAAAACAGGAAGTGCCTGGTAATGGGATAGATTGTTGACTTTTCCTTTTTATTTAAATTCAGTTGGCAAACAATCAATATTGACTTTGTAAATAGAACAGAAAAAGTTACTGTGCAAAGGTGCAGGAAAAATCCCAATGTAACACAAAATTAATCCCATCAGCTTCCTTGGGAAAATCTCTTGTATCAACAAAGGTGAACAATGTTAGTTTCATCACCGCTACCCTGCCACACACACGTACCGCACCCTGTTCTCCCCTCCTGCTCCTGTTTTTTTGGAAGATCATAATAAATTGAACATTTCCAGTTTCTGTAGCCTCTCCCATAACTCATATTCCCAATTCCAGCTATCAATCTATATTGCCCTTTGCTCTACCACCCGCCTCCCCAGTCTCCTCCACTAATTTGCAAGTCTCTATGTGGAACATTACTGGGTGTAAATTGGCTGCTGTGTTTGCTTACAAAACACAGTTGCTGCACTTTACAGTAATATCCGTGAAACACTTTGAGACATCCTCCTGATGTAAAAGGTGTAATATCAAATGCAAGGATTATCTTTATTGCTCCAGATGTGGCCAGGTGGTAGGGGAGAGAGGAGGGGGGTTATAGGAGAGGCTGCAGAAACTGGGAATGTTCAATTTATTACGATCTTTCAAAAGAACAGGAGCAGGAGGGGAGAACTGTGTGTGTGGCAGGGGAGTGGTGATGAAACTAACATTGTTCACCTTTGTTGATACAAGAGATCTTCCTAAGGAAGTTGATGGGATTAATTATGTGTTACATTGGGATTTTTCCTATGCATTTGTACAGTAAATTTTTTCTCTCCTATTTACTAAGTCAATATTGATTGTCAGGTGCAAAGGATAACAGATCATTCTGGGATGTGAAGCCTATCTGATTTGCTCTGTTTTTAAATGAAAAGTCATGCTAGATCTGTGTATCAAGCCCATTCCTTTCACAGACTCACAGCACCCACTTCTGCCCTTAACCTCACTTCACCTTCTCATTCTTCTGGACAAAAATTCCACACAACACACCCCAATCCCTGAAGGCAAAATACAAAAACTCCAAATCGTTAATCCATCTCCTGGCATCTGCCCTATTCAATCGAGTTCCAGTTGCCTAAGGTAAAATAATGGTATGAGTTGAACTCCAAATTATACCATTGTGTTGTTGGAAAAAAAAGTTGATTTTTTTTAATATGGGAATGGAAACCTGTTTCAGAATAGGAAACGCCTTCCTCTCAGGCGATAAATGCAGTGACCCCTTCAGTACTTAAATGATGTCAGCGACTTTGAATCAATCACACAAGATTTTTAGGACCTTTCGGTGCTGAAGAAATGTATTTACTGGTGGGTGAGAATCTGCTGCCAGTAAAAAAGTGCACTTCAAATCAAAGTTATCAAAATATTAAATGTAATTTTACACCAACGAATCAATTGTTTAACCAGTAACCAGAAGAGCCACCCATTTTGGATCAAATCTGCAGAGCCACTTGATGCACTAATTGGGAGAACAATCCACTAATTGTGGATATGAAAATAGTGAGAAAAATATGACTTTGTGTGCACCTTTCTGCGTTAATAGTTGTTTATGAGTGTGTTTCTCTCTTGTCATTCTCCAATCTTCTGCCTTGTGCCTAGGTCTTTCCATAATCTATGCAGTTGTTATCTTCTGTTGCCAGAGCAGTCCCTGTCCATTCAAATCACACATCATTTTAAAAAAAATAATAATTTGATCACTCAATCCACAACTCGTGATGCTGCTGTGCGCAATTGATATTTCGCCCTCAAAGTATAGCCAATTCACTTTCCAATATATTGTGTGAAGCGCTTTGAGATGTCTCAACAATGAAGCACTATATCAAATGCAAGGATTATTATTATGTTGGAGTCCTGTAGCTCAGTGGTTAGAGCACTCGTCTCACAAGCGAGACTTGGGTTCGATTCCCAGCGGGGTGAAATGTTGGCTAAGTTTCTTTACTCCACACGCCTCTGTTTACCTAGCAGTAAGTAGGAACCCGATTATTAATTGATTGGTGGAGCACTTTTCCGGGGGTAATAATTCCTTCAAAAAAGTAATAATAATAAATTGGTCACTCAATCACAACTGTTTGTGGGACACTGCTGTGTGCAACTGGCTGCCCCGTTTCATCCACAAAGTATCCAGTCAATTCACTTTACAGTATATTCTGTGAAGTACTTTGAGTATACTCTCGAAGATGTGATAAGGCGCTATATCAAATGCAAGGATTATTATTATCCTGAATCGCTTGCACACACACGCAAACCTAAGTAAAGTTCCTGGCATTCCAGCCACTCTGAATCAAACAGTGACCCTGCGGATATACAGCATTCCATTATATTTTCTCAGAAAACCAGCTGATAATTTTAATGCGCTTTGAGATGTCATCCGATGTTAAAGACATTCTATAAATGTAAACTGTATTGTGTAGTCATGATGTGCTAAATTAACTGGGATTTTTTTGTG